CAGCCTGTTCACTTTTTATTTCTGTCCCAACTGTTATTTGTCAAGGTCTGAGTTGGGACCGTACACTGTGAAATCAGCAGGAAAGCGGTTCTCAACCTGTGAGTTTGTGATTCGTGATTTTAAAACCTGTGTCCACCTTTCCTTTTGGGGGATCCTGTGATTACTGGTTATTCCAGTTCATTTGTTTTAAATAAACTTCACTTTGGGATAGAATATGTAGGTTATAATTGGTATGCAATAACTTTGATATGTGAAAAACAAAGTAGAAATTCCATTAAAATGTGAAGAGTAAACATTTTATAAAAAGATTTTACTTTTTAATTATATAAGAAAATTTTCTAAAAACCTATGTTAAAAAAAGGTTGCATTCCTGCCTCTTTTTTTTTTTTTAAGATAAATTCCAAATTAATACAGATAAAGTAAGCTGGAATACTGAGGGGAGAGAAAATTTGGTTTTCCATAGACTGATTATTTTCTATTAAGTTTAACAACCAGAAAACTTAGAAATCCAGACGCTTTCCTGTAATTTCCAAAAGTTCTGTGTTGTTAAAACATATACCAATAAAATCATACTGAATTTTTCTTACATGAGCACATTATACATACATAAAGGTAGATATAAAATAATAGAAATGCTAAAACTTAACTACATTTTTATGACATTTCTTTAAGAATCCATTAAAAATAACTAAATAAAATCTCAAATATTGGGATTTTAAATTGCTACTAGAAAAGACATCTTAGGGTTTAATCATGGTTGGACCAGCACCTGTGAAGACCTACTAGAATTTTAGATTCATGATTAGCAGTTTTCAGGATTTTTAGACCCATGGCTAAAACATATTTGTTTTGTATTTTTGAAGACTTACTTCTGTTGAGTGACTTTCAAGTATTTGAATTCACTTGGGAAAATATTTCCATGGCAGCAAACAAGGCCGCATTTCAGATTTCCTGCTCTTCTATCAGCTTCAGGCTGCTCCAGGGCCTTGCGTCCAAGGTGGAGTTCCCAGTAAAAGTAAGATGATAATATCTGAACTCTCATTGCAGTAAAATGGACGTTTTGCCCTAAAAGAACATTTTTATAATACTATTTCAGTCTACCTGTTTAGTTGGTAGTAGTTCCTATTACGATGGGAAGTACATTAACTTAGGAATTATTCAGCTGTTTGTACATTGCATGAAACTTTGGGGTAAACAAGCCTGACATCATTTCTGTCTATGTGGTCTCCTTGTTGTTTCCCATCCACTTGTTTGTTTCACCTTCCCACATGTGGGTGTCCACCAGACAGCCTCTGCTTTTTCTTGCAGAATGCTGGCTCACTAAAACTTTCATTCCCTTCAGATGAGCTGGTATTGAGGTGGGAGAGAGAAAAAGAAGTTAAAAATGAAGTAAATATTTCTTGAAAAGATGTGAAATTTGTTTCCTGCCTTTCTCCTGAAGTTTTAAGTCCATATCTTTTTCAAAAATACAAATTTCTGATCTTTAAATTAATCCTTTGCTCTATTCCTCATAAAACTTCAAAATTAATCCAGGATATAAAATGTCTGGACTAAAATCCAAAAGTGTACAGGATTTGAGTGAAGTTCGACTACTGTGCTTTATATACTTTTTATACATTTAAATCATTCTGTGAAAGAACACTGAGATGTTGGGTAGTAAGTTGTATAGTACCCTCAACACATTTTTATTACATAAAAACAACTTCTTTGTTTTTCAGCGATAATTCAGTTAGTTTGACCCCTTACCCTCTTCCATCTCACTCCCTACAATTCCTCTTTAGTTGTGGTCAGCTGTACATATATTTAAGGATATGTTTCTTTATTTACTTTATGACAGAAACCACAATAAGTTGTGGACATGTGGCTAAAATTTATGCTTAGTTTGGACTTGGTAGAAAATATGGAAAGAATATTAGAAAATAAAATCTGACCAAAAAGATACTTACGTTGTTTTGACTGTGGGCCTATGAAGAAGTAAGGGCAGGAACCAGGAGTATGGAATGTTAGTATTTTAGACTATAATAAACACACAAGAGTTACATTTGTTTGTAAGTTATGTCCTATGCTTAAAAATATGTTGAGTGTGTATCCATGCCCGAGTTGTTTGTCTAAGCTGAGAGCCAGAATGGTTGACTTGGTTTCTCCCTCCTCCTTTTCTTGTTTTTTTTTTCTTACCTTGCAACTCTTGTTAGTATCATTGTGTCTAAGTGCTTGTGACTTCCTTTTTTTTAGCTGTTAATTTTAATAATTTGAAAAAAACTTAACTCTTTAATGACAAGTTTAAACAAGGAGGCCATGGAAAGCAAAGGGAAAGAGCTCTCTTAGAAATAGTATGGAGTTTTTCCACTTAGAGCACTCTAATTTATTAGCGTTTTAAAAACATTGCAGAGCCATCATTTCACTGATTATAGTTGATTACAGTTGTAGAGACATTTCAGTTATTTTACCATTAGTTTTTAAAATAAGAATCATCTACCACATTGGTTGTTATATAGAATGTTTATAAAACTTTTTAAGTTGATATATTTGAATGTGTGTATTTTGTGGATTTTTTTTAGTTTCGAAGTGAGAATCACTTCTGGCCTGAATTTTCATTTGTCGTCTATAAATTATCATGTATAAATTATCTTTTAATAGATTTACTTAACTCACCAAATTGCTGATTGATAGCTGTCTTGTAATAAAAAAATAAAAAATAAAAAATAAAATAAGAATCATCTACCACATTGGTTGTTAAACAGAATGTTTATAAAACTTTTTAAGTTGATATATTTGAATGTGTGTATTTTGTGGATTTTTTTTAGTTTCGAAGTGAGAATCACTTCTGGCCTGAATTTTCATTTGTCGTATATAAATTATGTATAAATTATCTTTTAATAGATTTACTTAACTCACCAAATTGCTGATTGATAGCTGTCTTGTAATTATTTTTACTGTGTTACTCCATTGTACTGGATAGGACATTAAGGACATGAAGTCCTTCATTTAAATTTGATAAACTTGTGTCGGGCATGCTGCAGGTGGTGCATGAAATGAGCAACATTGGGTTCCATTCTTTAAGGAGTTGCCTTAAAAGTGTACATTCTTTTTATAGAGGTTAACACACAGTTTTGTTTGAACTCAGTTACTCATTGTTTAAACTTAAAAGAAGAGGAATCTGTTTTTATTCATAAGATTCTGAAGAGCATATTTTCAGTAAGAGCTTAGTTTTTTTTTCCTATTTGCTAATCAGTCACTTGTAATTTAGAAGAAAATCTGTTTTCAGACGGAATATTCCTAAGGATTGCATATTTGTGCATATGAACACCTTAATTTTGTGCATACTATATATATTTAGATCACTTTTCAACAGGAACATAGGGCAATATGTTGCAAAGAAGAACCTAAGGTTGATACAGTTATTTACTAACAGTGTTAAATTTGTAATAAGTAATCCCACACAAACTGTCTGATTGTGACATAGTGGGGGTAATAGGAAGGAATTCTGGGTTTGAGTGAAATTACAGTTACTGTGTGTTTTTCCCTTTGCAAAAAAACCTGAAAACAGTTAAATTCTAGTTCATTTAATATTGTAAGTGACAACATGATAGTCTGGGCATATGACTGACCCACTGCTCTATGTATATTTGCAGAGCATTTGGAAAATTTAAGATTATTCCAATATTTGTGTGTTGCTCAGAGAGAACGTATGCCTTATATTTAATGGCATTAGCATTCATCTCTTTGTAGAAGAATTGGAATCAGAACAGTTGAGATCCGTGCTATTTTCAAGTATTATTGTTATGACTAAGAATAGAGGGGCACTGATAGGTTTCTAGGTGCAAACCAGTGCGAGTGCGAGGGGCCTGCCCGCAACTACCGAGACCTGCTTTGTTCGAGGCCCTGGTTTCCACTCAGCACCTCCTTGGAGCCTGCGCTTCAATCATTTACAGATTTCAGCTCCCAGATTAGATCACCGCATTGAATTTCTCCATAGAGTACATCTTCCCTCCAGTGAGTAAACTTTGGGGAAATTTTTTAAACATAATTTAAGAAAAATAGTTCAGCTTGAGCTGGAGGCAGGAAAAATGAAAAGACCAGGCAGCTCGTGTAGGTTACTCAGAGAAAAAAATGGACTCAAAGAGTTACTTAATTTTTTAAACCCTATCTCTAGGAAGTTATTTACACAAATCCAAACATATTCTACCATCTGTCCTTAACCTTGACCCCCACTTAATAACATTTCTTGCTATCTTAGCATATTACAGAAAATTCCATTTTATTCTTTTTAATGGCTGCATAGTATTCCATTGTGTGATTATGTCCCATTTGTGTGCCCTCATTTTGACACACAAAACCAGCTGACAGTTGTCAGTCATATGATGTACCTTAGAGGGTCATAAAGTAGTATATAACTAGAATTTTGAATTAGGAAATACCACTGTTTATAAGTTAGGAACTCAGGTTTATAAAATGTATATGCTTATTCAGGATAAATGTATCAGTTATTAAATACAATATTAACTTAGGCAAGAGAATTAATTCTAAAGAAATTAAAAGAAGCAGATTTAATGGAAAAAAAACCCTGCAAATACAAGACAAGTTGAAAGTATTCTCTGATACTTTCAAGTGTTTGTAATTCTTCAGAAAGCCTGGATCAAGCTTGACATTGAGCATGCCATTGTTGTCATGGCCGGTGAATGGGCTGGGTCACTTCATGAGCAATGATTTTCTTCAGAAGCATAAAACTCAGCTAAGGAATGGCTCCCTTTGGCCCCCTTGGCTATTGGTCTTGCAGGTTCCTGGGGAGGGGAGGCAAGTTCGAAGATCCCAAGAATCTCTTATAAAATACTTAGGATTTTTCTATTTGAGTGTTTAGAAAGGTTTATTTTCTAAAATGTGTAATATAAACATTAGTGTGCACATGGTTATGAGATCCAATGGGCATTTTATATAGTTTAAATAATATGCTTTGTGTCAGATTGCATATAGTTTGAGTAATAACTTCTATAAAAGTTAGGGAAATGTTAGCACATGAAAATTTGACCCTTATAATCTAGAAATGTAAGAGTAATTTATGCCAGTGCATTATTTCGGATACTGTTTGCTAGTGATGGTGTCTGTTTCTCTCACTTTTGGGAGCACCGTGACCAAGCCAAGGCTCAGAAGTGCAGCAGTCTTTTTAAAATGCAGCTGTTAGAACCGTTTCCCAAGAATATAGTAAATATGCTTTTTCCTATGTGTAACGAATTACACGAAGGTTTGCTTCTGCTTGAATGTTCTTTTTCAAATTTGACTAAAGAATGTTTGATAATTAAAAATAATGATTCTGCTGGACAGATATATGCCCTTTGGTTTTATTTTGAAGAAAATTATTTTCATTTCTAATTATTTTATTGTGACTGTCATTTGCTGGCAAATTAAATTTATGTCCCCAAAATTATGTGAACTATAAACTTTTATACTTAAACTTCACAGTTCTTTAAAATGTGTTACGATTTCGCTTTAACCTATAAAGGATGGTTTTTCTTTTGTAAGTTTTGTTTTCAGCTTGGTTTTGGTTGCAATTCACATAATTCTGTTTTTCCTATATACAAGTTACTAGTTTAGACTAAAGATGTTTTAATATCATCATGATATCCTAGTTGACAGCTACTCTTGGGCAGACACTTGCCAATGCACGTATTATTAAACAGTTCATTTGGACGGTAAAAAATTTTATCATTAGGAAAACGATAGATGAAAGAAGATTATATACTAACATGGTCTTGCTAGTGTTTGAGGTGGGCAGGGGCAGCTACAATGCCAGCGTTCTGATACTTTCAGGATTTTGTGTTTCTTTTTGGGTTGTGAGGGAGAACTCTTGTTTTGAGGAACTTCCTCAATTATATTTTAATTTTAATCCATTTTCAAAAACCGTAAGAAAACTTACACAACTTAGAGATTTCTACATATTTTATTTGGGTTCAGAGGAGTGTCTGAAGGGTGACATGTTTTCAAGTTCTGTCTGTGTCCTGTAGTCAGTTCCTTTGCCCCTAATGAGAAAACCGTGTGAATGGCAACTGTTTGCTCTTATACCTGTGGGTGGTGGAGGCACCTGAGGGTGGATGTTGGGTGTTTTCTGGGAGGAGTTGGAAGGAATTGGTTCGTTTTGGGGAAGTCTTGTAAAAAGCATTGTATAACTATGGGATTCCCTTTTTAATCCAAGGGGCAGAGGAGAACTGCTGTCTCTGTTGTGCCCCTGTGCCAGCAAGCCTTCTGCATGTGACTTTCAAAGGTCAGCCGCTTGAGTCTGGTTTGGACCCTGCTTGTGTTGAATTTCAGCCAGCAAGTCTCCGGCATACGAGAGAATTTGAGATTTCTCCCTCCCCCATTTCTTCTGTTTTTGTTCAGTGTAAACAGTTCCTGCCGTAGAAACATAGACAAATATAGCAGAGAATGCTTTTCTGGAAGAAGAATGCTCCCTAAGCATTTTTTAACCATTTTTGGGAAGAATTGATCTTTGTGTGTATTTCAGACAGACTGAAAGAGAGGGAGGGGCCGTTGCTGTAAATTGAAGTGACATCATAAGTATTGCCCCCATTGATCTGCTTTTAGTCTCCAGCCAGGATAAAAGGAAATGGCACCAGGGAGGAAGCATGCTTCATTTAGGCACAGATCCCAGAGTGATAATGGGGTAATAATAGAACTCACGCCACCGTCCGTCCGTCGGAGGCTGCATTAGTCTCAGGCTCCTTCCTTGTCTGGGAGCCGCTCAGAGACTTCTTCGGCTGCAGCGCGCCAGCTGGGCCTGGAGGGAGGCGCCCTCCTGTGCGCTTGGAGGGGTGTGGACAGTGGGGCTCAGATGTTGTGCACCCAGTTCCTTGTGTCGGGACCTGCCTGCACAAGGTCAGTGGTGAGATGGGTTGGTGACATTTTCTATAGGAAGCGAGCTGGCCTTTTGGGATCCAGTCGCATGGGTGGTCCTGGGAGCAGGAGTGAGTGGCATCCCCTGACAGACAGCAGGAAGAGGCTCTGTGAGAGTCGGGGTGTGCTTTCTTCTGCTGCTTGTGGACTGGGAGGGTGGGCTTGGAAAATTCCTATTTTCTTTCCAAGAGTCTGTAGAAACTTTAAAAGACATTCAGAGTTGTGTGGCTTGCCTCGGTTCTTACGTTGACTGGGAAAAATACCAGGTAGACTTTTCTTTTGCTTTGTAATTTCTGGGTAGTTAGCAACTATGGACTCCTCCACCTTCAGTGCAAGAATACAGACCACTGAATCCTTACAAATGGCATTTGCTTTGCCTGACTCCTTTAGTATTTTGTTGGTTTTTTTTTTTTGTATTTGAATGCGCTTTACAGTGATGTGGAATTCTCTATTTCAAGTACCCACATGACTTTGGCACCTCATAGCCTTATTTTGTCTAAGTGTTGAGGCAGATGCATTTTAAAAATACCAAACTGGTTTCCATGTGGAAAAAATAATAACTCCTTGTCGGTGCAAAGGAAAGGACTTTCTATTCCTGTCACTGTCGAACTGTGGCTGTGAGCACTATTAGGCCCTCAGAAATAAAGGCAAGTTCTTTTTATAATGTTTGACGGAGCTGCTTTCTAATGAGACAATGCTCTGAACCATGCACTGTATTTTTCTTAACCATTCTGTACTGTGACTAAAGCCATGTTCGTCTCTCGGAACTGCTGCACTAAAACACAGTGGGCCTAGAAGTCACGTGACATTTAATTTGATTTCTGTGTTGGAGGAGGGGAACGACCCACACACATTTCCCGTTCCCACCGCACCATGCGAGCACATTGGAAGTGCATCTCTCTCAGTTGCTTTGCAAACTTTTGGTTTATTACATAGTATTTTTTTTTTCATCATGTGGAGTAAATGATTATTTTACAAAGAGAAATGTTCTCTATTAAAATGAGCTATTTACCACATTTTTGCTTTAATATCCTCTTCTAAGGTCTGTAATCTGTAAAAATTGTGTAATGTTTACTTGCTCATTTGTGAATGAAGGATACTTAATTAGTTTTACTGTCTGAACTAAAATATTTGATCACTGATTTTTCTCCGGTTTTCTCATTGCTTAGAAATTACGTTTTTCCCTGGTGAATTAGAAGAGTTAGAGTTGAAAGGCAGGTGACTACAGGTTGTTAACTGAGTGAGACTCACTTACACAAGCCCATGCTGGAGTGGGCCGGGCAACCCCGGGGCATTACGGTTATGGAGGGGGGCCCGTTCTCACGCTTGCGTGGGGTCCTGTGCCTTCTTCCACCTCGGAACAGGCCGGCTCTTGCCACAGAGCAGTCTGCGGCGCCGCTGTGCCCAGGAGGGCTACCTGGCGCGCTGTGTGCGTGCCTGCTCTTTACCTCTCTAATTAGAGCAAATTAAACTTATTAAAAACCTCCTCCGTTCCATCTCGGCGGTTTATCTTTAGTCAGGGGCTTAGCTTTAAGTATTTCCCATTGTGTAAAATCAGGAGAGGGCAAACACGTTCAGGGATCCTTTTGTTCAGTCTCTGTGTGCAGCTGCACGGACTTCTGCTGAGAGAGAGGTCGCAAGACACATAAAAGGGAGACCCCAGATGTTTCCATGGGTTCGCATAGCAGTGATTCTTCCGTTTTAAACGGGAATTGCGTTTATTGATTAAACCCAGTTAGGTTAAGTCGGGGACTGAGCTCCTCTTCCTCAGGGGCTCCTTTCCTCCGTGGGTCTCTCGTTTACCCCAAGTCCCAAGCGCGAGTTCTAACAATAGGCCTCTTTGTAAGTGTGGACACAGAATAGGGGCATGCTTTTCTTTCTACTCTGTCTTCCCTGTAATTCTGCAAATTGACCAAGCTGGTTCCTGCTGTATTTAGTTAGTGAACCAGACCCCACCCTCAACCGCTGGGTGTTCTGCCCTTTCCCAGAACCCATCTTCTGTACCCAGTGGGCCTCAACATTTGAGCTGTTGCTACCCTGGGCTTGGCTGCACCCGTTTTGAGAATGCCTGTGGGGGCGCAGGGCTGGGTGGCCACTCTGACCCAGTCCGGGGCCCTGTCCTCCCCTCCCCTCTCCACCCGCTATTGAGGCAGGGGGGCTGCTGCTCCAGGGGTGCCCAGGCCAGGCCACCGCGGGGTGGCAGTTATGTGGACCATACTTGGGAAAGGGATGAGTGGGGCAGGAAAAGACTTTAATGGGGGGTAAAGGGCAGGCTCTGTGAAGAGGCTGGAGGACAGCTGGGGAGTGACCTGAAGGGGGTGCTCGGGGCCAGGCTGGATGAACTCCCCCCTCACCCCCCAGGACCTCAGGGAAGGAAGATTCAGAGAGGGAGGCTGCAGGGCAAGACAGATAGGAAGGAGGGCCAGGCAGCCTGGGTGCTGGCTGAGCTGCTGAGCCTGGGGTAGAGCACCCTGAGTACCCACCAGCTGAGGGCTCGTGCTGTGACCAGGTGGGGAGAATCCAGAGGCTGGTGGCTCTGGATTTGTCCTGTTTTGTAAAACAGCAGATCTCTCATAATGTCGTAAAAGTGGGCTCATGTTCTAAAACTATAGAAAATGGAAAACTGGCGTTTTTGTTTCTGGTTATGTAGTAACTAGAGGCCCGGTGCACGAAATTCGTGCACAGGCAGGGTCCCAAGGCCTGGCCAGCGATCAGGGCTGATTGGGGCCTTCCCGCTGCCAGCCGGGGCCTTCCTTCATTCTGCGCCGCCCTCTGGTGGTCAGTGCATGTCATAGTTAGCAGTCGAACTCCCGAGGGGACACTTTATATATTAGCCTTTTATGTATATAAGATTATCTTTAACCCTTTGCGGTCCAATGTTATTTTTGGAATTCAAACAGTCTGGTCCAAATTAATTGACGGGATTGAATGTTGAACTTTTTAATGTTCTTATTGCTCAACGTTGGACCTGCTCCTAGCACCTGGTCTGTCGAGTCAGCCTTGAGGTTGGACTGAAAAGGGTTAAAGCATCTTATAGGCACATGACTCCTCTGGAAGGAAATTGTCAGTTGTCTCCGAGCCCCTGGGGGCTCCATGTTGGTTGTGACCCTCTACGTTGGCTGAAGGCACCTGGTTTCTCCTGTCAGCCTGAGGAGATCCACAGGATCTTAGGTGCATGGAGCGATGTTATGAAATAAAAATGCCCAAGAACCCAGGGATGTGTGTCTGTGTGCCTGTGGGGAAGTGGGGTTATAGTAGAACTTAGGAGGGTGAGGTGTGGACATACAAAAAAAAATGCTTTCTTTGTGGAATTACGTGGTGAGCATTGTGCCTGCGATTCAACTAGTTTCCCCACGTGCATTCTGGGAAAGGGGCAGGCGCACTTGGGGACAGAAAGGTAAAGAGAGGTAGGGAGAGATGCCAATAATACTCAAAATTTCTTAAGAATAACAGAAAGTAGGGATTAAAATCCAGGTGTCCTTATGAATGTTCTGTTGGCCTACCATGGATTTGCAGACTTGTACGTTTGGGTTCATTGACAGATGCTCGGGGCATAAGTCGGGAAGGAGTAAGGCTGAATGGCGAGAGTAGTGACATTAATAGTAACAATTTAAAACCTTGATTTTAGAATATTTTTCAGCTCCTACAAGATGTATTTTAAATGCATTCTTTCCTCCTTTCAGAGTCTGTGAGAGCTCTCTGCTCTAGGGCGGAACTAGGCATTGCAGCACAATAATGACTAAGACAGATATTCCACCTTCTTGGATTTACAGTGTCTGTTCATAAACTATTCATTACTTTTGTACCATATAAAAACGCCCTCCTCTCTTTGCCCTTTACTATGTAACACCAATTTTTACCTACCCTGTGTGAAAACTTAGGAATATGGGTGACTGTGTGTGTGTGTGTGTGTGATCATATTTACAACATTTTAAAAAATTTTAATGGAATAATAAACATGATTTTTATAAGGGAGTGTTTGCGAGACATGCTCTCCATTTCTTGGTGCACATTGGCAAGGTTCCAGTGGTGAGGAAGAAAATCTGAAAGCAGCTTACTTCTGTTAAACTTCCATGTCTAAGATCAGGCGGTTCCTTGAATCTTAGTCTAGGTTAAATGACATTTTTGGCATATGTTTGCCATAAAGAAAGGGATCTAATCAACCATGAGGATGTTTTATGAAGTTAAATATCATTTTTGTCATTTTGTATATTAAATCATCACATTGTACACCTTAAAACACACACAACCTTAAAAAAAAGGAAACACAGTTTTGCTCTGTTCTGAGGGTACAAGGTAAGTCCTGAGGGCTGGCCAGAGTCCGTCTTCAGTCTTTCCGTGCCTCCGACACTTGCTGAATACCCGGCCGCCCTGGGCTTGCGTCTTCATTCTAAATGTCTGTGTTTAATTCCTAGTAAGTTGAATGGCATTTTCACTGGCTTTTGCTGTGCCCTCAGCTCCTTCCAGACCAGCTGGTCTTGCTTCTGGAGCATCTGTTGGAGCAGAAGACCCTGAACCCCAGAACTCTGCGAAGCCTTGAAAGGACATACCGCCTCTCCCAGCAGGATGCAGAGGTAACCGGGACTGCCCTCAGCGTAAACAGCGGGGCCCTCGCATGTGGACAGGGTGGTCCCGGAGCTTCCCAGACTGTGGGACTGCACTGGGATTGCCATCAGCATCCCCCCCCCCCCGCACCCCCCTGCTGTGTGCCTGTGAGTGAAGAACAAGCCCTTGCGGCCAAGTGGAAGCTGCTCCCTGGTCGGGCTCCCTCCAGCAGGGGCCCCAGAACCTGCTTATTACCGGGTCTCCCCTCTTTTTAAATCATAAGGACGGACACACGTCCCCAAAGGAGTGTGAGCAGGCAGGGTGGGGCGCTCCTGAGTACAGACTGGGGCGGGTCAGCTTTGCAGGCTGGTGGCGCCGTCCTGCTGCTCGTGGGGAAACGCCCTGGCCTCGGGGTGCCAGAGCTGCACGTTGCCTTCAGCCAGGACAGGGAGGGAGCCATGTGTAACGGAAATGAAAACGAAATCTAACAGCTGTGGGTTGAAAAGCAAAATGGGATGCTTGTGGGAAAGCAATATGATGTGGTTCTTAATATCTTTTAGCTTAATGTAAAGAATGCACTGTGAATCTGAAGATGAGTGCCAAGGGTTTTTATGTCTATAAAATAATTATTTATCACATTTAGTCGTCTTAAGTAAAATACAAGCACATGGCCAAAAAGAGAGAAGTTCTTTTATGTAAAACTCCTAAAATGCAAGTAAGTTTGGTTTGTGTTCAGGTGAAAATAGCTGAGCATCTAAAAACTGCAGTTTTACGGGGTACCCATCAGGCACACGTGGCTGTTGAGCCTGTGGCTGTGGGTGTGAAAGGCACAGTGGATACTGAAGATGGAGTGTGAAAAAAGAAAAATACCCTACTAATAATTTCTTCTTATTGGTTAAATGATATTTTGGATATTTTGGGTTAATTAAAATGCTATTAAAATTAATTTCACAATCATTAAAATGGGGTAAATGGAGAAAAGATACCTTATTAGATTAAAAGGTAAGATGGACATTGTTTTACCTTTTTTGTAATCCTCACCTGAGGCCTGTTTTCATTGATTTTTTTTAGAGAGGGAGGCAGGAGGGGAGGAGAGAGAGAGGGAGAGAAATATCAATCTGTTGCCTCCTGTTCACACCCCAATCAGGGCTTGAACCCGAAACCTAGACATGTGCCCTGACTGGGAATCGAACCCACAGCCTTTTGGTGTATGGGACGACGCTCGAACCAGCTGAGTCACCTGGCCAGGACCATTGTTTTACATTTTAAAGCTCCACAAATTCAGAAGTTAATTGAAAACCTTCAGAGAAGACACATGTAGCTTCAGAAGACACAGATCAGAGGTGCTGTTTACTTCAGCTCTTACATGTTTGTTCATAGGTGTTTCCACATGCCAGCCCGTTATTTTTAATTAGTGTTTAAAGATGTTTCTATATACAGACATGAGGCTAAGTTTTAGTCAGAGCTGGATACCGCTGAAATGCCAGGCCCCAGTGACGGGCAGTGGACAGACGGAGGCGGGAGGATCAAAGCCGGCCCCGGGCACCTGTCACAGCCCGGAAGCCATGAGGTGGTAGACACTGTTGGCTCCCCTTCCCTTTGGCATAAAACACATCGTGTTCTTAACTTACAGCTCAGCTTAGTTGTTTATAACCTCCCAAACCTTTAGAAAGCATAATAGGTTTTCTTTGGTTGCTTGTTTTACAACTCACAGACTACACCATGATGCCTGAGCCAGGGCGGCCTGGACCCTGGGGGCAGGAGACCAGGGCCTGGGGATGGCTTTGCTTGGTGTGCATAGCTAGGGTGGCGTCATGCAGTTCACCAGTGCTGCGCCAGGCACTAGGGACATAGCAGTGGGCACCACCGCCGAGGGTCACCCTGAGGAGGTGTATGTTCTTCTGGAAAGACAGTGCATAAGTAAATGAACACAACGCTTTCAGGTACGAGTTACAGTGGAGGCATACAGGTGACGCTGGGCTGGCTGTCTGTAGATAGAGTACTCAGGAAAGGCCACGCAGACAAGTGGCATTCGGGCCAGGACCCAAGGGGCAGGGGTAACTTCCATACAGAGGCAGCAGCAAGTGCCACGTGTGAGCTGGCATGTGCTAGGATGGGGGTCAGCAGGCTTTGTCTGTAAAGGAACAGAGAGTTAATATTTCAGGCCACATGGTTTCTGTCCCCCCTGTTCACCTGTGCCGTGGTAGCATGGAAGCTGCCAGAGAGAGACACGCAGACAAACAGCCGTGCCTGTGCGTCAGGAAAACGTTATGGACCCTGCAACTTGGATTTCATGTAATTACCACGTCTCAAGATAATTCGTTTTGTTTTTGTCGTTCCTTCTTTGAACTGTTTTAAAACATATGCAGCACTCCTAGCCGGGGGCCGGGTGGTTGATTGGGTCTGCCCCATCTGGAGTTTGTTGACCCCTGCGTTGGGGTGGGCAGGGGCCAGACCAAGGGGGCCTGGAGGCCTGTGCCCTTTGGGCTTTCATTGTCACAGTGTGCCTCCTTCCCCAGCTCTCTCGTCCTGGCACGTGTGTAGTTAGTTGCACTGACAGTCCATCTCACCGGCGTTTCCTTGAAATGTCACTCAGAAGCAGAAAAGCAACAGGATTTTGGGCAAACAGTTTTCTAGGAACATGATTGGTTACGTGTGACTTACTGTGACACTGATTAGCAAGAATTTAGTAGAATAACATCTGCCTTTATTCTAAGTGACAGAACATTTCATGGAAGAAAGGATGACTTTTTGGTGGGAAACGTCTTGAGGATTCTGACTTTATTCTTGGTGCTTCTCCTGGGCCTGAACAAGTAAGGACAGTCTCAGTCATTGTCGGGGCTCTCATGTGTAGTAAACAGCAAGCCTTTGAGAGCTGGCGGAGACCCTGGAGTGCGGCAGGCTGTGGGGCGCCCTGGGGGAAGTGCTCGCGCCCCTGGGACCTTAGCGCTGGACTGGGTGTCTGTGTGAAACCCAGCGCAGCAGGGAGTGCGCATGACCGGCGCGTGTGTTCCCCGTATTTCCTGGAGGCACAGGAAGGCCCCCTTACTCCCCTTCGGACTGGCGTTTTTCCTGAGCACATCCCCATGGGAAGTCACTTTCCGAGGGGTGAGCCTCTTACTTCACGTGTCCTTGGAGCTGAGTCTCACTGCTCATTCCTGATCGACCCATCGCTGCAGAGCTCCTGTTGGCAGGCGGACGCTCTCCACAGGTCGCCCAGCCTCGCTCGCGTGAGGAGCCTGTCCTAGCACAGACCAGGGCCCTCGTTCAGTAGCTGCTTCAGCTGCTTCTCTGTTGTCTACCTCCCTCCCCCCTGCCACCCCTTCCCTCCTCCTTCCTTCTTCCTTCTCTTTGTGTGTGGATGCGTGCAAGCCCACTGGGAAGTTTATTTTTAATATTCTCTTTATGTGGCTCAATATTTGTGTTACTTGTGCTGCTCTGCTCTGTGCTTGGTTGTGTTCACAGGATGTCTGGTCTGGTACCAGAGTTTCTGAGCACGATGCCTGGTCTGTGTTGCCCGCCAGCTTTTTTCACGTCTGAGGTGGTAGGTTACAGGGCCTGTCCTCCTTGGGATGTGAGTCCCCAGGTCTGCTCTGGGGAAAGGGATACCACGTGTTCGGAGTCTTAAAGGAAAAGTGCACAAGGACGAACAGAGTAAAGCATCCATCCTAAGCCACCCCAGCCTTGTGGCCACTCCGCCTCTGGAAAGCGGGGCTCTCTGCTGGGAATGTTTGGGTTCCTGGACCTGGAGAGGAACACTAGCTTGGGGTCAGCCACCTCTCACATCCCGAGTCCGACACGACCAGCCAGATGCCGGCTCTAACCAGGACGGAAAATGAGCTGAAGGGAAGCTTAGTTCATAGAAATATGTGTCTTCTGTTTTTTTGCATATTGGCTCAACTAGAGCCATAAAAGTCTAAAAATATATTGGACATGGATTCTTGGAACAAAAGACATTTTCTAAGATCCCATTTTAAGTCATGAATTTCTGCATCTGTAGCAGGTCTCCTGGGCTGTAAAAGAGCCGCCCCCTGGTAGTGAGCGAAGATCCATGGAATGTGGCTCTGTGACCTTCTTTCCCTGAGCGCATGGCTGACCTTGAATCAACTTTACTTGTACAGGCTGCAGTTGGGCACTTCAAAATTGGGGACTCACCTCAAGTTAATTATTTGAAAGTTCAGAAACCGAACTCGTCACCCTAACTGTCTTGGAGTCAGTGGAGGACATGGCTCAGGAAGGCCCCACGGCAGCATGCCCCGCCCTGATGTTGCGACGGGTGGATTGTCCTCTCACTGTGTTTGGGAAACACTGCTGGTTGGAAGGAAGAAGCTGCCGAGGTCAGGTTGGAGTGCAGAGTGAGGGGACCCTGTCCCTGTCGGGGGCCCCGTGGTTGGCCCCGGGTGAGGAGAAGACGGATACCTGCTCATGCGCATGTGAGCAACTCTTCCATGTTCCATCTCCTGGAACGCCCAGGCATGGACTTCACAACAAACGGACTTGGGGCCCAGATCCCAACACGTTGCCCCTCTCCCGGCCCGTTTTCCTCGTCTGCACAGCAGTGCCTAGACAAGGCTGCGGGCTCCTGGCTTCTTGACTGCAGCCAGTGGCAAAGAATGTTTCATGACACTGTCTTTACTCTTATATTTTCTATTATTTCCTGTTTCGTTTACTTTAAAAAAAAAAAAAGTGCATTGTGATGCAGTAAATTGATTTTAAAATGCCATAACCCCTTCACAGGATTGTCGTGAGAAAAGTTGGTGAGCATTCAAGGTCATGTGACTTCTGTTGATGAGAGATTCACCATCTCTCAATTGGTGTAAAATGGTCAGATTTTATTATTTAGCTGTTCTTTTCCTTTTAATCTATCAGGACTGGCAGGGAGAAAAAGTAGTAATCTACCCAGCTGTTAAGAGCTCCTAGGCCTCTGGTAAACTTTAACGGGTAAAGAATGATCGATCCTAGGGGCTTGGTAGGTTTGGGGTGTGTGGGGGGAGGGGGACCTTGCTCTGACATGTGGACTGGATAATTGCCACTGTGCATTGTGGGATGTTTAGCATCCCTGGTGTTTGCCCATGAGATGCCAGGAGTAACCCACACCCAGTTTTGGCATCAAAAATGTCCCCAGACCATTGCCAAATGTCTGGTGCCGGCAAAACCACTCCAGTCAGAACACAGCTCCAGCAGCCACTGCTTCACCAAGGACAGTGTTTTCACTGGTCTCGCAGTGCCGGACGCAGGGCCACAGCAGCCAGGCGTAGCTGGAAAGGGGCAGCAGCAGTGAGGGCCACCCTCCGCGGGCCCAGAGAACAGAGCCTGCGAGAGGTGGGAACAGAACCTCTGCTGGGAAGAAGAAAGAATGGCAAAACAGAAGTAGTAGGAGCAAGCACACCCAGAGAAGCCAGTCAGTGCATGAGGCAAACCTGTTCCACCACAGTGCACAGAGGGCCACGCCGCTCAGCCATGGCCGGCGCCTTCTGCTCTGGAAAGGACACTTTCAAGGTCGATTGCGAATGGGAAAACATCCAGCCTTGCAGGCCTTCTCCACATCACTGCCTTCCCTCCTGCTCTGGCTGAGGAGCCCTTGCAACCCTGTAAGAGGGCCCCTCCCGGGGTGGGTTCCACATGTGCGGGAGGGCCCAGATTTCAGAGCAGTGTCCTAAGAAGCACTGTTGCTTGAAAAGAAAACAGGACAGCATTTATTTGAAGCCCAGAGGTGGAAGGTATGGTTCCCAGCATGCAGTGGTCTGACAGCTCTACTGCTCATTTCTAAATTTTATCTGGGCCAAAGCATAGTTCCTGTGAACGGAGAGCATTTCGTGATCAGCAGACCGTCTGCTGGAGAGGCGTCGACGGGGCAGAGAGTCCAGGCCTAGCCCGGCGGCACGTCCCTGAAGCAGCAGGAGCAGCAGCTGTGGTTCAGCTCCTCCCCTTCCAGGATAAACCTGCCGGGAGCGGGGGGCTCTGTTCCCTCTCCTCCCGGTTCTTTTCCGATAGCATCCGGCCAGTTCAGAGGACAGGTGAGGTGTCATCGCTGGCTCTGTTGCCGCTTCAGGAAGTTCCCGTTTCTGTTAGTGAGATAGATGCCTTGTAGTGAACTGGGTGCCTCTTCCTCTTTGGTCCGCTCCATGGGAATCTAAGCAGCATGGAGGCCGACTGGCCTTGCTGAGCACAGGCCCTGTACCCCACGTCGGAGGTAGCCTCCGGCGGTCGGGCGGGAGGGTCTGCGAGGAGCCCCACCCCGTCTTAGTGCTGCCCTAGCTGGGCTGTGCCTCTTCCTCCCGGAGGCCTCCCTGGGTGCACCAGTGTCCCAGAGCCTCCCAGGTCATCACCTCCCAGGTCGTCCCCTCCCAGGTCATGACCCGTATTGTCAGGAGGCACTGTCCTGACAGATGGAACATAAACAAGAGGCCCTTGTGGGGGGTCAGAATAGTGAGTGGCAATTAGTGAAGTGGTTCTGATGGAACGGGGCTTCCGGAAAGGCAGTCCGACACCTGCCACCCAGCATTGGGCCCTGTCACAGCTTCTTCACAGGGACCAGGGGTCCAGCTCATTGGCCCCTTGACCTGGTCAGATGCTGATGAATCTGAACTTGAGTAGGTGAGCTATAAATAGTGTGACTATTGGTTTTTTAAAAGTCAGGGCAGTGCGTGTGAAGGGCACAGCTGCCCTTTGACACAGCGCTGCTGTCCTTTCCCTAGTTTGAGAGCTGGCCCAGGTATGGATTGAAGAGGGAGCGGGGTGTATTTCTTTAGTTGGCTCTAGACCAGTGATGGCGAACCTTTTGAGCTCGGCGTGTCAGCATTTTGAAAAACCCTAACTTAACTCTGGTGCCGTGTCACATATAGAAACTTTTTGATATTTGCAACCATAGTAAAACAAAGACTTATATTTTTGATATTTATTTTATATATTTAAATGCCATTTAACAAAGAAAAATCAACCAAAAAAATGAGTTTGCGTGTCACCTCTGACACGCGTGTCATAGGTTCGCCATCACTGCTCTAGACACACCTATCTTTTTAAACCAGGCGCCTTTAACGATGTGGGAAAGAACAGAGCTCTTACATATTCTTTAGTTACGTGTGTGTCTTCTTTGTTGTATTTGGCTTATGAAACAAACGTTCTAGATTTCCTTCAGGATTGGGAAGCTATCCCTAGGTATTGCTTCCTTCGAGTTTTCTTTATCTGTTACTCACGCTGGTGCCACTGGGAGTTTTCTGTGGAAACTTGCAACAAATAACCACCTCCTCTGCTATACTGCAACGAAACAATTTTTCAAAAGCAGGTGTAAATAATGGCAAAGTAAAAAACTTCCACCTTTTAAATCAATATTCCGCTCTTATTCTGGAGGCCAGGGTTACTACAGCACGTTGAGCTGGTCAGATGCTTGGTAAATAATAAAGACAAAGAAAACAAGTGAGCCATTGATGGCAAAATCTGCCTGATTGTTCCGAAAAGGACCTAGTAAGTAAACAGTTATAATCAAGTCATACTGTTTAGAGCTTGTAAATAAAAGGAAAAGAGCATCAATACCTGGGCTTTTAGCTACAGCTCAGCCAGACTCAATTAGGGAAGTTCCGGTCGCTTGTGGTCCTTTGCCGTTTGCTTCTGCCACTGTCCTGGGCAGCAGGTCCTCTTCACAGCGGCTGCCAGGGGCGCTGTCTGCCCCGCGGTGCGTGTCCCCCGGTCTCTGCAGACTTTCTCAGGAAGGTGCGCCGATGGGCCCATACAGCTCATGTTCCTTTTGGCTTTAAAGAAATCAAGACCTAGGGTTTTATTGGTGCTCCTGGCCTTTTCATGCCTCCGTCAGTAGTGTACACACCTTTGTGTTAGATTTCTGTACTAAAATCGGTGCTAAGGGAGCACACCGTTGTCTGTGAGCACTGCCATCATTTCACAACTGTAAACTGGACCACATTTTTATGTAACATGTGCCATAGGTGCCCTAGAACAGTGGTTCTCAACCTTCTGGCCCTTTAAATACAGTTCCTCATGTTGTGACCCCCAACCATAAAATTATTTTCGTTGCTACTTCATAACTGTAATGTTGCTACTGTTATGAATCGTAATGTAAATATCTGATAGGCAGGATGGTCTTAGGCGACCCCTGTGAAAGGGTCGTTCGACCCCCAAAGGGATCGCGACCCACAGGTTGAGAACCGCTGCCCTAGAAGGCTCACTTTTGCCAACATGCTCAAATCTCTTTCACGATTGCTTTCCCCTCCGGTGCCTTCCTGTGCATCTTTCTCTTCTCGCTGTTTCCGTGGCATACCAGGATCTGAGAGTTCAGTGGGTCTGGCCTTGGAGCTGTGGAGCTGGCGAACTGCAGATAGTCTGAGCCTCAGCATTCCCAGCAGCTGGAGCAGCTCCCCGGGCCGGTCCTGAGGGAGGGGCAGCGCTCTAGAGATCCCACAGTCCCTGGCCGCCTGTGCCTCTGACGTGGGAACATGCTGGTGCCTGAGAGCAAAGAGAATGCAATTACGTCGGATTCACATGTTTTAAAGGATGAACGTACACCTATTGATGTGCAAATGGTGGTACTTTGTATGTCAGGGTCTGACATTTAAAGACCAACTGAACTTACAAGGTGGCACTACAAGTGAATGTTAAGCTACTTGGTCGGCATGTTGCCTTGCTGCAGCCTTGACCCATGCGGTCTAAGTTCCATAGACAGCTAGTCTCCCCACCTTGGTCGAAGCAGATGCCCAGGCTGAGCACAGGACGTGTGCGGGCATCAGGGGAGCCAGCCACCGTGAGCAGCAGCCCAGAGCTGGCTCAGCCGGCAGGACACCAGGTGGTTTTCCCAGGAATGGACTGCCTAGAATAGTACCTTTTGCATTCCCCAACTTGATTCCTGGGTTTTAATAAGACTTTTGAGAAATATAATTCATACACCATACAATTCACCCACATATTCACAGAGTTGTACACATCACCAAAATCGATAGAACATTATCATCATCCCCAAAAGAAACCCTGTACCCTTCATCGGTCATTCTCATCTCTCCCTGCCCCCACTCTGCGGCCCCACGCTAATGTTTCTGTCTCTATAGACTTGCCTATTCCGGGCTTCCATACAAATGAAACATACAATATGTGACTGTTGTGGCTGGCTTCTTTTCAGTTAGCATGTATGTTCAGTAATCATCCGTGTTTTAGCATGTATCAGCACGTCTTTTTCTTTTGTCACCAAATATTTTCAGTTGTATAGATAAACCACATGTGTTTATTCATTCATCCGTTGATGGACATTTGGATTGTTTCCACTTGTGGGCTGTTGTGTATAATGCTTCTGTGAAGACGTTTTGTGTGGATGTGTTTTCACTTTTCTTGGGTCTGTATCTAGGAGTGGAATTGCTGGGTCACATGGTAACTCTGTTTAACCTTTTGAGTTTTAACTGCCAAACTACCCCAAAGTTACTGCACCATTTTATATCCTCCCACAAGTGTATGAGGGTTCCAGTTTTTGTTCATCCTTGCTAACTCTTGTTATTGTCTCTTCTATTTTCGCCATCTTCTTGGTTATGAAAGAATATCTCGTTGTGCTTTTGATTTTCATTTCCTTGGTAACATCATCATGTTGGATACCTTTTCATGTGCTTATTGACTACTAGTGACCCAGCGCGCAAAATCGCACAAGACCCAGGACTCCCCCAAGTCTCCCCAGCGTTGCGGGACCCAGAGTCAAGTCCCCGCCCACCACGCGTGCCTCGCTGCACACGCAGCCTCCTGGTGATCGGTCTTTGGTCGTTATGGCGTTACGACCACTGGGTTTTTATTATATAGATTAGTATATCTTTGGAGAATGTCTGATCAGATCTTTTGCTCATTTTGAATGGCTTTATTTGTCTTTTATTACTGAGTTATAGTAGTTCTTTATATATTTTAGATACAAGTTCCTTAGCAAGTATGATTTGCAAAAATATTCTCTCTGTGGATAGTCTTTTCACTTTCTTCTTTAGATTTTTTATTGATTTTGGAGGGAGAGGGAGAGGGAGAGAGAAATATCGATGTGAGAGCGAAACAACAGGCATGTGCCCTGACCGGGTATTGAACTGGCAACCTTTCGGTGCACGGGACACACCCAAGCAACTGAGCCACACCGGCCATGGCTCTTTTCACTTTCTTGACAGTGAAGCACAGAAGTTTTCATTTTGATAAAATCTAATTTATCTATTTTTTCTTCTTTTGCTTGTATTTTTGGTATCACATCTAGGAAGCCATTGCCTGATTCAAGGTCTGGAAGACCTAGGTCTGTGTCTTCTCTTAAGAGTTTCATGGTTTTAGTTCTGCCTTGAAGTCTTGGGATTTGTTTTTTTGAGTGCATTTCGCTTGCTCCGCTAGGGAAGGCCATTGGGAGAAACGGCATCAAGGAGGGAGAAGAGAGGATGGTTTTTCGTGGAACATGGAATGGCTGGACAAGGGCTGAGGGGCCCTGTCCAGTAGCAGTGTCACATGGAGTCTTCTGACCACACCTCGGGGTCTCCCCGCTTCCCTCACTGCACCCTGTTAAGTCCTTCCATGACATGGATATCTACACTTGCCGGTTACTGAATTTTTCTTAAACTTTCTACTGAACTGTAAGCCCCGAGAGAGCCTCTCTGTTTGTTTATCCTCAGTGCCCAGTACTTACTTTTTGGAGAGGACTTTTCCTGGATCTCCAGGGTTTCCAGAGCAGCAGCTACCAGTGCCCGACACGCGGTGGTTGGGACAGCGGAGCCCGTGGTGAAGCCCACGGGAGAGCCAGCCTCTGGCCACTGTGGCAAAGCCTGCAGCGTGGGGGCCCTGGGGGCCCGGGGGGGCGTGGCCAGGCACGGGTCCCTTCTGAGCTTGTCAGAGGATGTACTTGTGCTCACTTCTGTGGCAACAGTAAAGTCCTTTTTTCAGCAGAGGCCCTGTGTCACCTGTTACGAAACGGAAAAAGCAGGTGGAGTGTGCTATCTCCTGATTGCAGGCTGACACATCAGAGCGCAGTGCGCCAGTGCAGTGTTGACGGAAGGAAAGCAAACCGGGCGTATTTCAAGGAGGACCCAACATGGGCTTCCGAGTTCTGCCCTTTGGAGCCAGCTGACTAATGGCATTAATGTCCTTAAATAAAATAGTCTCTCCAAGGAGGGAGACGGGTTAGCATTTGCCTCAGAGGGTGCATGTGGTGTGTCGTCACCTCTGCCTCGCCTCACTCCATGCCCTTGGCCCTTGCTGAGAAGTATCGCTGTGAGAGCGGTCCCGGGAGAGGTGGCAGAGGACCCTGTCTTGCAGCCGCTGCCATTCAGGTTATCACTGGGGACAGCCGGTTACAGACAGTTGACAGGCAGGTGAGGGCGGAGGGACGGACTGAGCAAGGTCAGTGTGAGCCCTTGAGAAAGAGCCAGGGCCTCTGATGCCTCCTTTGTTGTCTTAACCCCGGGCCTGGGGATTTATTAACCTGGCTCTGTGACAGCAAATGGAGTGGCTTTTAATTTCCTTTAGTTAGAAAAATAATGTTACAATTGCAGCCCTTTGAGAATAAGACTGAGTAAGGTGAGAGAAAAAATGGGAAGTGCTAGGATCAAAGTAAAATGTTGGAAATCTGTCCTTTTCAGCTGACGGCTCTCCTATCTTTTCTCAGGAGAGTGAGCAGATGAGCCACACTGGACCAGCAGAGACGCCCCAAACAAAACACTTGCTGGAAATACTGTCTGTCCCGGCTGCCTTCCCACTCCTGGCTGCCCGGCAGGCTTCCCTTACCAGCAGTAAGCTCACTTTAAAGCAAAGTTAAATCTAATTTAAGGACGCAAATTGAAAAAGCAGGTTTGTTTACTGCAGTGCTAGACTTATTAACTCACAAAAGCCATGAGCCTTGTCTTTCTGTTTACACTTATAAAATGGATCTCTAAATGAGGTTTAATGGGCCTCCCAGATCATGTTCCCCAGGCAGACTTTTCCTCTTCAGCAGTAAATTCTGAAATCAAAAGGACTAGAAAGAAAGGGGAGCGCTTCCTGTCATAAATGGGATGGGTGGCATTCTTCAAAGCATTTTACAGCTTCCAACTGTGCATTCTAATTTCAGAGTAGCTGGAAAGCATTCTGAGATGTTTAAAGTGGTACATTCACTGAGAAACGTTTATCAAGCACGAACTGGGTCCCAGGCCTTGGGACAGGGCCGGGGACAGTCCACAGGCCCTGGCCCCACTCTCCCAGGCTTGACTCTTAGTGTAAACACAGGAGCAGGCGAGCGAGGAAGCAGGCAGTCCCGAGAGCACTGAGCTGGAGCGACTGTCAGGCGCACTCTGAGGTAGTGACGGTGCAGGGACAGGCGGGGATGGGAACTCCCGGCCAAAGAGGTGCTCATTCGACTGTGCGTGGTGTGCTGGATGAGGTGGGGCCCCATGGTGACCGCAGGCCTCCTTGTCCCTTTTGTCTGCTGCCCCTCACAGCCTCCTTCTGAAGGTTGTTAAGCCATTTTGGAGCTTTCTGGTGCCATAAGACCGAAGGACTGAAGGGGCTGGAGTGCATTAGCAGGAGGGAATACCCTGCAGTGTTGTAAGTGAACGTCTGTGGAGTGACTGAGTACTCACTCCAGCTGTGGCCGGTGGAGAGAAGGGAGAACACAAACAATGTGTCCGCTGCTGCTGCTGCTGAAGTCAGAATGAATTCGGTTGAATGGCTGGTTCATTGGGTTCTCTGGGTAAAGGTACCTGTTACAATTTTTAAACATTTAAAACTAAAGCAGGGGAAGCAGTGCCTACAGGAGACATGGGTGCTTTTAAGCAGGGCAGTGAGTGTGAGCGAACCAAACCCCGGATCCAGGACTGCAGTGGCGGAGCAGCGCGCTCACTCTCCGTGACCTTGACCGCCGCCTGCTCTGTCTGGGTGGCACACTGGCTACAGAGCCCAGGCGGGGTGTTGGCTGTCGTCGTCTGCCTATAGCACTGTCTACTCACCCTCTGACTCCATTTATTCCTCAGGCACAAGGACTCTTCAGAAGACACTGGTCTTCAAACTCCACCTCCAGGAACCAAGGAGTTTCCTATTTCAGTTTTCCTGCCCGGCCTGGAGAGTGAAGCCGCTTGAAGAACCCACTTGTAGTCTTCTCTTTACTGTCTTATATACTGGGGTTTCAGATTATATTTTTATTAAAAGTTAGAATTACATTTAAGAAGTGTTTGAAAACCACCTCGGAAAATTAGTTTATTAGATGATAATTTTTAGAAGTAGCTTCATGCAAAATGATCTAAAATTGAAGTTAAAAAACAAACCTTTGGGTTAAAAGCTATAAAAGAGCAGTGAGAGTTGTCATGTGTTAATAAATGTGGGGTCTGGGGTGTGTGGGGATTCCCAGAGGGCACCTCTCTGGCATGGACAGACTGGGCGTGAGCTGGGGTGGGGGCTCTTCCTCAAAGTCAGGGTGACACCCAGGCCTGTACCTGCATGCGTCCCAGGCCCGTGACTGGCGGGAGACACCGTGGTAGGAGGAGTGCTGGAGCGCGTGCTCGTGTAGGTGGAACTTAACCCACAGAGCAGGGACTCCGGCCGCAGTCAGGAGCACCCTGGTGTGCTCCTGGCAGGACCAGGCTGAAGCTGGGGAGCCAGCTCCCGAGCTCCCGTGCCCGCATGCTGGTAGCTTGGGGTTAGGCGTTTGCTGACGTGCCACTGCCTGTGCTCGCACTCACTCTGGGAGCCGGAGCGCGGGTCTCCGAGGTAGAGCGGCGTCAGACTAGAGCCAGGCCAGGCCAGCCCGCAGCCTGTTCTGTAGATGCGTCTGAAACTGCCATGCCTAGCCATGCCAAGGCCATCGCTTACACATTGTCCAGGCTGCTTTTGTGATATAACAGCAAATGAGCAGAAAAAGCAAAAATGCTCACTCTCTGGCCGTTGACAGGAAACACTTGCTGACCGTCACCATCCTGGAGTCTAGCAGACCACTGGATCTGCATCCATTAAAATGTCTCGGGATGAAGGGATTGAGGTGGGGAGCGGGGTGGTCCTTTGGCAATTTTCTTGTCCTGTTTCCAGGAGAGAGCGATGAATGTGGGGGAGCCCCTGGTTACATCAGCAATGCCGTTGTCACCTCGGAACACACATGCCCCCACACGGCAGGTGCCATTTGTAAGGCACTCGGACATCCAGGGCTTCCTTCACCTGGACTGCCTTTCTGAGCCCGTGGTTCGGCTCAGCCCAGCCTCTGGGCAGTGAGAATGTCTTCAAGTGGCACATATGCCACGTGACCGAGGCTGACGCTGGCACAAGGCAGAGCCATCTGTCTTTACAAATAGTTTGGAAAATCCCAGGCCCCAGGCCCCAGGCCCCTGGTGTACTTCCCAGGGGTGGCTCGAGAAGTCCCAGCTCCCTCAGGCCTCTAGGCCCCTCCCTGGTGGTGCCCCACTTCCTCCGCTCTGTCCCTGCGGGAGTCTGCTCAGAGTCCTGCCCCGACCCTTCCCTCCACACGTCCAGGGCCGCCCCTCCAACTAGCAGCAGCCCTCTGACAGGCACTCGCTCCTTATTTCACCAGTTAACAAACAGCTCTTAGAAGTAATATTCCCCAGCTTTATAAATTCAATGAAAATGAACTCTGAATTAGGAAATAAAGCCGAAGCATGCGGCTCCTGCTAAGATGAAAAGCACTTCCTGTGTGGGAGTCTCTAGTCTAGCACTTGCTCGGCAACTGGTCAGTTCTCACAGCATCCCCGCCACAGGGCCGGGCCGGGCCTGGTGAGAGCAACCAGCCCAGCGGACAGGGCTGCTGGGTTAGACCCTGGCACCGCTCTGTGGGTCAGGAGGTCAATTTAGTAGGTCACCAGCCAGCCTAAGGAACAGAAAATAGAGAGTGTATGCATGTGTATATACATAAGTGTCGGCTGCTGTGAATGTATTTGGAGCAAATGAGCCATCAGCCTTGTAGTTAGAGGCCTATGTGTGTGTTTCCTGCAAAATTCCTCTTGGATACCCAGGCCATCGGTCTACCCAGGTCTCCCAGATGACGGAGGCCTGTTATCACAGACATACTGTCCTGGCGGAGTCCCTGCTGTGGGGGGACACGGTCCAGGTGCAGCTCAGGGATCATTGAAGGGTTTTCGTTCTGCTATCAAATGTGGGTCTGGCATGAATCGGCTTCTGCAAACATTCTTCATTCTCCCACCCAAATTCTGAGACTCCCATCGACACCATTTGCTTTGCTGGGTTCCCATCCCCTTTTGCTCAGAGAGGCTTCAGAAACCTGGAAACTTGTGAAGTCCATCTACAGGGGCGGGTGAGTGCCGCTGTGTTACAGCCCAGCTGTGCACGGAGGGCAGCACCCAGTCTTCAGTGTCCCTCAAGCAGAAACATTGAGAAGCAGATTGCAAGCTGATTTTTATTAGTGTTTACATGTGCACTCCTGTGTGCGTACATCTGTGTATCACGACTTCATTGGGACTTCATGGGAAGAAACGGGCCTCCGCCCTCCTTTTTAAAATCTTTATTGTTGAAACTATATATGTCCCTCTTTTTCCCCCATTGACCTCTTCTAGCCCGCCCCGCCCCCACCCCAGGTACATCCCCTTCGTTAATCATCCCTCCGTACTCGTGTGCCAGGCACTATGCTAATAGCTCGCACATGTTCCGGAACCTTCAGCACAGCTCTGTACCGGGGCACTCTGGTCCTGGCACTGGATGGCGGGAGACGGGCCAGGCCCAGCTGCTGTCTGCACTGAAGGCTCGGTGACGGGCACATCCTTGGGAAGCCAGGCTCCAAGTGCCCTGGGAGGCGGCGCCACAGCCAGGCCTCTCCCTCTGCACCGTCCCTTCTCCTCCTCTTCCCCTCGCTGCCCCACGCCCTGCATCCCCGCCTGCCTCTTTGCCCTTCTCGTCCTTGCCCTACTTCTGTGCAGCCTGACTGCGGATGGTGTTCAGCTAAGACGTTGGCTGACGCGAGGCTTTTGTTGGAGATCTCTAGCATGAGTTCAGAGTGACTTCGTGAATTTGAGTTGTAGTTGAAAAAGTCATTAAATTTCTCAGCCCTGTTGAGACAGAAGTGTAATAAAATGTGAGTGTGTACAGTGGGATTCGGTCCGCGTGGACATAGTGTGTACACACAGGGTATTCTTGAGACTGAATGAAGGGATCGAGCGTGGGAGCCGTGGCGCCTCCTGCTCCAGGGCTGCTGTAGGTATGCGTGGAGGTTATTTTCCATCGCACCGAGGAAGTGAGAAACGGTGCCACCTCACCCAGTAATTTATCGGAAAATAAAGAAGAGCAGATATGCAGAGCGGACAGCCTTCCTCAGAGGCCTGCTTCTCAGTTCTCTGGCTGAGGCTCCCACACTGGACCTCACCTTCCCCATGGCCAGCGCGGGCCCTGTGGTGTCTTCTGAGCGTCCTGCTGTGGAAACGGTGACGTGCCCTCAGCTCTTTGGTGATGAAGGGCCTGCTGTTTGCTCTTTGGTGAGCAGGGGAGGCTGGGCGCCCTGTAGCCTTCGGGGGTCAGAAGACTAGGTCTCTTATTAATCGTGAGAATACACTGTTTTTAACAGAGGCGTGGCAGTGCCGACTCCATATTGATGTGAAAAGCCTCTTTCTGTGTGTTGTCCCTGGAACTTGTTTCACTTGTGGGGGGGCTGGGGGGGGCATCCCGCCCCCACCTGCCCATCGGGGGTCTGATGAATGCTGAGTTATTTCTGTATGTGTACATTCAGGGTGGAGGGGAGCACAGGAAGGAACAATGAGAGACTGAAACCTCCATTCTCAAAATCCAGGCTAAAAAGTGAATTTCCCCCAAGTTGTAGAACGAGAAAAAGCAGTCGTTGTCAAAGGCACAGTGTGATCAGGATTCGAATCGGTTCAAACATTTTGAAGCTGACAGAGGCCTTTGGTACCGTCCGTGACCCACTAACAGCTGGTGCGGTGTGAGAGGGAGGCTTTCCCTGAGGGCCCAGAGCCGTGGCGAGCAGCCTCCTCGTCTCTAACTGTCCCTCCCACCTGGTGGCCACAGGGAGCCTCCGTTCCCACAAACGAGAGGCTGCTGGTGCTTGGCAGGATGTTGGTTCTGGGGTGTTTAGATGACCATGAGCTGGGATAAGACGAGGGGTAGAGGCACCCTTTGCCGTCTCTCCGGAGCGTGGCCTGGACGTGAGTTGCGGGAGTGGGTCTGGTGGCTCTAATGGCTTCCTCCGATGGATGTGTGAGGAGCTGACCTCTCTGTTCACGTGTTCTTTCCGCTCAGAACAGTTCCGGGGCTGCCCTTGCCCATGTATGGTCTGCTAGTTTCTGTTGCTTGCACAGGAAAGAGCGTTCTATTGAAGATGGAAAGATTGCCGAGGCCCATCTCGTCCGAGCAGCTTCCCTTCGTGGTGATGGCCCCAGGCTGTTAGCTCCTTCCCATGCACCTCTGACATTCCCTCCTGGATGTGAAAGCTCATGGGTATCCCTTCCTTACAGATTCAAAGGACCTGGCTGCCCACAGCCAAGGGCAGCGCCACCAGAGTCCCCGAATTAACACTGTCGGGGAGCACAGTAGCCCCGGGAAGGATTCTTTCCAAAAGATTTGTTTCTTCCCTTCATTCCTAATTGCGTGTAAATCTATTTATAGTAGATTAAAGGAGAGATCTGGCCAGGTTGGTGGGTAATGATAAAATTTATGGGGGACCCGGCCAAAACGTTGAAATGGCTTGTGTTTTACTATTGGCACCAATGGGTTCCTTTAAAGGCCAGTAAAACAGAGTGATGGAAGGCGGCTTTTCCAAATGCACACAGTCCCTTCCATGTGTAGCCAGCGTGGATCACAGTGTGGACCAACATGGTCGTTGCTACCTGAGCATAACCTGTGATGCAGTAGAATTGGCCTGAAACGACTCTGAAAACCAAATCCAGGTGGGATTTCCATGTGAAGAACGCGCCTCAGGGCTGAGAAATGCCAGGGCTCTGCCGCTGTCAGCAGAGGCAGCCAGGGCTGGGGTCTCACCTCCACATGGTCTGTAGGGGTGTGTGTGAGGGAGGGGGTGCTGGCAGTCTTTAGGAAAGTGTCTTTACTAAACAGCACCCACCTTTAGCTCATCTGTTTTCCGCATGTTGTACAAACCTGCAGTGCGAGCTGCTTGCATCACGTTGGTCTTCTCCCTGCTCCCCCCTTGTCCCCCCCCAGACATCCCAAACCCCCCAGGAGGCGCTCTGCCTCTTCTCAGGAATGTGGAGTGTCGTCCGGCCTCCCTCTCTTCGTTGTAACCATCAGCAGCTTTGAACCATATCGGTTATTGCAGGAAGTGAAGTTGTGGTTTCAAAGGAAACCTTCATGGACAGCCCAGTGGGCAGCGTACCTGCCGCCTGGCCGGGGATGTGCCTTTAGTTTCTTAGCTGCATTTTTCGTTTACCTGTTGTTTTGCAAAATCTTTAAAAACATCACAACACCCAACTGAAACATGCACTTTCCTCCCCCGAAGTTGACTAACAGTCCTCCTAATGAGGAACATGGTTAAATAAATTTAAATGAAATTTAAAGCTGAAAGTGCCAACAATGTTAATAAACTCCAAAGAGTACAGTAGTCCCCCATTATCTGTGGTTTCAGTTACTCATAGTCACCTGCAGTCTGAAAACATTAAATGGAAAATTACAGAAATAAACAGTTGTTACGATTTAAGTTGCATGCCATTCTGAGTAGAATGATGAAATCTCGAACCCTCTCGCTCTGTCCCCCACCAGGACGTGACTCATTCCTTTGTCCCGTGTCTCCGGGCAGCACAGGAGCCTTCCCCGCACGTGGGTCACTGGCGGCCTCTGCAGTCAGGCCACTGAAACGGCACTTCCCCGTGCGGTGCTCCGGGCCGGAGCTCGCATCCCCCAGAGAGGAGCCGTATGGAGCTTCCTTAGTGTAAAAACATGAAAGCTCTCAACTTAATAAGGAAAGAAAGAAATCATAGCGGAGGTTGCTGAGATCTGTGGTAGGAACGGGTTTTCTATTTTTGAAATTGTGAAGAAGGAAAAGAAATTTGGGCCAGTTTTGCTTTTGTGCTTCAGACTGCAAAAGTTACAGCCACGGTGTGGTAAGTGCTTAGCTGAGGTGGCAAAGGCCTTAAACTTGGTCATAGCCCACCCTCTCTGAGGCTTCAGGCATCACGGGTCCTGGCACACACCCCCGAGGATAAGCGGGGACGGGGACACAGAAGGCTCTGAGTCTGACACTCCTGCGGCCAAGGGAACCTGCTGGTGTGTTGCTTACTGGGTTTTCTCTCGTTTGTGAAGGTTCGCCATCGGTGGTGTGAACTCGTTGTCAAGCACAAATACACAACAGCGTACAAAACCGTGGAGAGGTTCCTTCAGGAGGACCAGGTAGGTCCTCCCAGCTCAGGTTCTGCCGGTGCTGCTGCCGGCTGTCCGGGACCCAAGGGTAACAAATACTTAAACATTTTCCCAAAGTCTGAAGGGTTGGTAGGAGCAGATTCTCCCCTGAGAGCGCACTGAGCCCTGGTCCTCAGAGGCACCATTGGTTCACCTGGGGTGGCCGTGGCCGAGACCAAGCGAGGCCTGTGCAGACTTCACGGCATCACAGGCCTCGGGTCCAGGGTGGCTCAGTCATGCTGGTGCATCTCTCTGTACTCGCTGGTCCTGACTTAAAGCCTGTGAGAAGGCGAGATGGAGAGCCGAGCCGCGGGAGCAGTCTGTCTGTCTGTCTGTCTGTCTGTCTGCACCTGTCACGCCAGACAGGCCTGTGCTGAGTGTCTTTCCTGCGAGAACTTTCCTCCCTGCTCACCAGAGGAAAGTGGTCATCCTCCCAGGAGCCCGCAGGAAGCGTGCGTGGGTGGCCATGTTTGGAGATGTCCTCCGTGCTGCTCTGCGCCCACCCACACTTGTCCTGGCGTGGCTGTCCGTGGCGGGACATGTGCCACGGGGTCTGTGCGGCTGGAAGTCAGCCTGCAGCTCGGCCCGTGGGCTTGACCAGTGTGTGCCTATGAGCGAGCTTTCTGCCCAGCCAGGGCCCGACGGCTTGGAGCGTGTTCCAGTCGGGCGGAGAGCGGGGGCAGGGCAAACAAAGGAGCTTTTGAGAGGGCCTGAAGATGGGGGGCTGCCAGCACGGAAGGGCTTGTTATTCCCACAAAGAAAAATGCATGACTTTGTACCAGAAGAAATGTCACATTTGCACAGTGGAGCAGGAGGTGTTTGGAAACACAGAGTGGAGTATAAGGAGGACAAAATGCAGGAGAAAATGAAGGTCTATTTGAAAACCAGAGTTAACTGTAATATACTTAGAACCATGAACTTTCCTAAATACGGATTACCACATCACAGCCTTTACGGGAAAGAAATCGTGAGCCTCTAACTAGACAAGTTTTTGTCTCGCGCTGTCTTTGAGGTCCTTCTCTTAATTTGCCCCAGCAGAGGGGACCCATGGCACAGCCAAGCGTGGAGAGAGGAGGCAGAACCCGAGGGGTTTTGGGTCTTCAGAGCATAATTGGCTGTTTTTTAAAACTGTTGGAAAAGTGCAGACATAGGTCTTCGCAGCATTGTGTCTGGAACAGAAGAGCCAGTGTTTGCCGCAGTGGAGGGACCGCGGTCGGCTGGGCTGAAGCAGTGGGCATCTTCCCGGGTGGCGTGATGCTGCTGCCTGCCCGTGGCTGCGTGTGGCGTGGTGGTCTGCGCGGCCCAGCAGTGCCGAGGGCCACCTGTCCTGGGAAGGAGCGATGTCTTGTGACATGCACACAGCACCTCGGTGCTGCCGTTAGCTGCACCGAGCCCCCCTCTCCTCCAGAGCACGGCCATCGCTAGAGAAACGCTCACTGTCACCACTTTGTCATCAGTTAAATCACCACGGTTCTGTTGATGGAATTGATAGCTGAGAATTCCTTAAGAGTTTCAGTGAAAGCAAGAAAGAGAAGTTGAAGACTACGGTTCCTCAAGTACAACTATTCAACTGTCTTATCTTTTCTCGGGTCTTCTGTGATTTCTGGACCAGCACGTTTGTGTGAAACAAACAGACTGCAAGTGTGGACACATAATTCCTTTTGTCTCATGCTCTCTGGCCTCTGCCCCTGCAGGCCATGGGCATCTACCTCTACGGGGAGCTGATGGTGAGCGAGGACGCCCGGCAGCAGCAGCTCGCCCGCCAGTGCTTCCAGCTGACCAAGGAGCAGATGGACAGATGCTCAGCCCAGGTGGTGGCCGAGATGCTGTTTTAAAGAGGTAAACTCTCCCATTCCTTGCCCCATTGTTCGTTTCTAACCAGATTTCTCATAGGAGCCACATAAATGAAGAACCAAACAGTGATCCTAGAGCACCCGCAGCAGTCAGTCCTCTGCCCCAGCGCGGGCGCCTGGGAGTGGTCACCAGGAGCAGAGCTGTCCACCCAGGCAGGACAGCTCTCCCTGGCACAGCTTTGGCCACTTCAGCTTTATCACTTGTAGTAACAGAAGTTGGGGGAGCACATCGTGGGGATGGTTAGGAGGTAGACTGAGGAGCCCAGCACCGGTGCTGGCCCCTGGCCTCCAAGGTGAAGGCTGACGCAGGAGAGCGAGGCCAGTGGCCACTCCTGGGCTGCGTGAGAACTTGCCGTCGCTCAGGTTGACCCCGCTGACCTGGGAGGCTGGGAGGAGGTCCTCCCGCCAAAGCCTGCCTCCGGCCTCGGAGCTGCGTCTGCGGGCAGGCTCGCTGAGCTGAGCCTCCCAGGCTTAGTGGGCAGGAAGTCCTGAATTATTTGAATTGCTTTTCCTGTTAATTGTGCTTGGAATTGACCTGTGGAGATTTACATCCTAGCAGTTAGGCTTTCCGTGGAGAGCTCTGTATTTAAACAGTAACTTAGCAATGGTCGGGAACGTCTTGAAGTAGAACTGTGGGGTTATAAGTGTGTTGTTTCTCTCTAACAACCATCATTTCTAGGTCTGTTTTTCTTCCAGGTTTTACATGCTATAAATAGGGTATGTCTAATCTTGTATCCTTTTAAAAACGTGACCATAGATCTCAATCATTTTTCATGTTATATAGCTTCTCTGTAAATACAGTTTTAATGGATATTTAATAGTTTATGTTGTTCTTCTTAACCCATTGTTGGACGCTTAGTTTGCTTCTGTCTTGGGAAATCATTTTTGTCCAGGATATTTAAGAACCTTACTTACTGGGAAGCAGCCTAATGCTGAGGAGGAACACCTTTCTGAGTGCGCACCTCCCAGGAGAGGCGAGGCATTGTGTTTGCTGGGAAAGGAAATGGTAGGAGTAGCTGCGGCGATTGAGCCTCTGGTAGTGAGACAGCTGTGTGCAGACGACCCCAACAGCATTCCCAGGCAGCTCCAGGCCCTGGTCATGGATGGGCCAGTTTACAAAACAGAGCAGTTATCTTGTTGCCAACCTCCTATAGTAACCAGTATAAGTCATATTTCTCTTTCGATGTTCAATTTCACGGGGAGTTTGTGTTTCTTAAAGTGTGTGAAACTGCCCTGGGCAGACTTCTTGCCCGTCCCCTGTTCTCAGCCGTGGGAACCACAGTGGGCACGCAGCTCTCACGACTCTGGTGCAGTTTTTGCCTCAAGCAGGCAAAGGAGTGGGCCTGGCGAGGAGTCTGCTATTTTCTCGCCTCCCTGTCCTTCCCCTTCCAGATGAACTGGGGGTCACATGCATCCCCTCTGCCTGCCCCCCCTCAGTTAAGACCAGGGACTTGCACCTTCCAGCAGACATCCCTGAGCCCAGGGGGACAGGAGGGACGGCCGTCTCCACCAACCCTGCCGGAGGCCTGTCGGTGCATTTCCTAGCTTGTGTTCCAAAACTGCACTGGCATTTGTATGGGCATCTCTGAGTCCTTTGATTTAAAAAATTGTTCCTCTAGGACAGCACGGAAATGAATGACAAAAAAATAAAACCATGTGGTAGTGAGGCAGGCCTGGAGGTGATGTCGTCGCCTCGTGACCAAGGACCAGGTGTGTGCGGTGTGGGCTCGGCACGCAGGCACGGCGGCTCCAGAGTGCTCTGGCTGCTTGGGTTCCTGGCATGCTGATTTGTGACTTAAGATTAAAATCACATTGCCAGGGATTACCACGCAACCACGACCTTGGCTGCTCTCCAGAGCCAGAGCCGCTCGCTCTCTGCAGCGGGAGAACGATGCACGTGGTAGCTCTTCTCCGGAAACAGAAGAAGCCAGCGGCCACGAAGACGCTCCCGCCCCCATTGTGCCCAGCTGGAGACCTCTCTGCCGAGGTGCAGAGCTTAGCTGATTGGTGAACAGTGACTGGTTTCCGCTTTGTTCACAGTGGCTAAGTTCTGCACCTGAAGAGAAGGTGAGATGGGACAGTAAGTTGGAGCCGGTGGGGCAGAGGCTGCTGCTGAGTGGTCAGCTCGGGTGCGAGCCCGATTCTGGAGGAGGAGAGACCTGCTCAGCCCGACGATGCACTTTCTCTTGTCACCAGTGCAAGGAATGTACCGAAAGGCTACAGAACGATGACTAACTAGGTAGCTCTCTGAAAGGTCAGATGTGTTTTTCGCTGCAAACGTTGTTCTTATAAAACACTAAAACCAAATGCATCACAGGAGATGAGGAAAACTGTCGCGGGGATTGCATGTGCGTGGGGCTGGGTGCGTGTGGAGCCCCGTGCTCCTCGGGGGCACCGTGACTCTCTCTTGTGTTTGCAGCCCAGGTCTCTGTCTCCTGCAGCCCCAGGACGACGGCAGCTCCAGCCGAGGCACTGCTTCTACGGCTGTGATTGGACCCGCCCTCCGGTGCCTACTGAGCTGATATCAGTTCTCATTTACACACTGGCTCAGTTCAGCAGGAACAGGAGTCGAGCCCTCGAGCAAAAAGCCTTCCTGTTCCTAGTGCCCAGAGGCTGCAACTCCACTCCGAGAAGAGGCCGCAGCGCTGGCCGCCAGACCTGTGCAGCAGGCACCGTCTGTATGTCCTGTGGTGGCTGTGGGCAGAATCGTACAGCTCTGCGGGCGAGTGCGGGGTGACGCCGGCAGCGCCACTCCGGTCATGGGGTGTGGAGGCTGGAAGCAGTTGGCGTGTGTGTGGCTCTGACACGGGCTCTGGTATCAGCGCGGGCTTTCTCAGCCACGTGTGAGCTGCACACCCATTCTCGGGGCTGTGAGACGTGGCGGGTCCCCTCCTGCCCTGCACTCGGCCATCTCCAGAGCGGGAGGCACATGAAGGTCCTGGTTGACAGGAATTCCTCTGAGCGGGAGTGATTTTATTGCTGTTTCTTTGCAGGAAAGATCACAGTGAGATTCCTTCTCATAAGCTCCTAGTAGCCCTGGTGGGACCAGGATGGCGCTGACCCGGACATCAGAGGAAGGCGACAGGGCTGCTGGGCCATCAGCGACATCGGCGTCCACGTCTGGAGCTGCTTTCCCGCGGCTGCTCGCAGCAGAGCACACGTGAAAGGCCCATCCTCAGGAAGGGTCACCTCGTCCCCACCCGAATGTGCCGCCTCCACACACTGAATGCGCACGGGGCCAGCGTGTACGCAGTCCTCCCCTGAACCGTTGAAGAACCTGGGGCCGCGGAAGGTCCCCTCGGTGTGCGGCTGGAGGGTCAGGTTTCTGTGCGGGAGCCAGTGAGCTCCGCTCCATGGGCTTCTCTGGCTCATTTCAGGAACTTCTGCAGAATTTTGGTCGATAGTTCCGTTATTTAGATATTTGCCAAAATTGTAGTGCCTTTTGGTAAAAGTACGGGATAAGAATCTAAGATGTATTTAATAATAAAATGTAATGGATTAATGTTTTTGTATTCCTGTTTGTTTCTAAGTTTAATTAATACTGTTGAAAAAGGTAGTTTAAAAGGCAGCCTGACAGGCAGTGCGCAGAGGCCCTCATCCCGCTGAGGTGGGAAGTTAGAAAAAGGGCAGAAGCCAACCTTCCCGCACAGGCCAAAAGGCGGGGGGCTAACTGGTGGTCCGTGAGGTCCGAAAGGTTGGCGACCACTGGCTTAAAGCGCCAGAGAAGCTCCAGCCTTGCTGTCAGGTGAGGTGAGGGGCTGGGCGGGGCCGGCAGGAGTGGTGCTGTCACGTGATGGCGCTGCCTTCACCCAACTCTGGCCTATTGGGGTGGCGGCGGCCTCAGCACGTTCCTGGGCCTCAGGGCTGCCCAGCTGTGACTCTCCTTCCGGAAGGGTCCACTCTGCGCAGCTGTGTGTGCTCTGCGTAGGACTGTGCTGCTTATATTGGTAGAAGAATCCAAATGTGATTTTTAAATTTGAATAAGATACAAGAACGCTGCTTCCTGTGAAGATGCCCTTCCCTCTGGTTGGCGTGTTGGGCTTCCTGTGAGGGGGAGCAGGACGGGGCAGGCACAGCCACACCCACCCAGCACCCACGGGCAGACAACTGGCACGTCCACGTGGGCTGTGGGCACCAGCTTGCCCAGTGGTTTGGTGCGGCCTTGTTTTTGTAGAAAGTTAAAGCCACACTTTCCTACCCTTAGAAACCACAGGGGCCAAGCCAAACAGCCACGTGTGGGATTTTGGACTAAGATGGCTGGTCCCCTTGGTGGCCGTGGACTCCTGCCGCTGGCTCTGAGCACCGGCCAGGCCAGGAGGCTGCAGTCAGTCCCGGAAGAGCCATCAGAGCCCAGGCGCTGAGAATGGCTGAGCTGTGGGCAGTTGGCCTGTGCTGCTGGCAGACTCGGGCACGTGCCAGGTGTCCCCGAAGGGGCGGAGGCGTGGCCGGCCGGCCTGCCTGGGACCTCCTGTCTGCACGGCGGCCGCGCCCAGTTACCCACCTGACGGAGTTTCTGCAGACAGGGCGGCTTTCCTAGCTGGCCCTTCGCACCTGAAAGGCTGTGGCCAGGGCTGGCTGAGGCCCCAGGAGTCGAGTGGCCGCCAGTCAATAAGGAGACATATAAGTAAGACTAGAACTCTCCATTTTAAAGTTTCTCATATATATATATTTTTAAAGCTCCACGTTGGTAACTGGCGGGCCTCCTGGGACTGATGGGATCTGAGTTAGAAACAGGCCGGGCCGCCCCGTGCGTGCCCAGGATGGGCTGTGCCCTGAAGGGAAGCCTGCCTTCCAGACACATGTCATTCTCTCAAGGTCACGTAGTAAGTAAGAGGCGGGTGTAAATGTGGGTCCACGGGCTCGGAGCTTCCCTCCCCACCCAGTGCCTCCGGCCACGCAGCCAGCCCGGACTGGAGAAGGCGGGGCTCCCACCGGGCTGCATAGAGGGACCGTGGGCCCAGGGACGCTGCTCTCAGGCCTGGAACGTGAACCTCCCTCCACACGCCAGTCACACGGGAAGTCTGGCCCACTTCCTCAGCATATTTCTGGGGCCCCCACCCCCAAGAACACACTTGTGGCCTCAGCGCCCCGGACCCTGCGCTGAGTGTAGGGAGCGCCGTGAAGGGGAGGAGACAGCAGAGGGGCCAGGACACCGGAGGGCCCCCCCACCCCATCTAGCGAAAACAGCAGCCCCGCCTGTGCCTGTCACTGCAGCCTCCTGTGTGAATGGGACCCTGAAACGGGGTCACAGTGACCAGGGCAGGACGCGGTGCTCCCACGGCTGCCGTGGGCCCTGCCCAGGGCGGAATCGCGAGTTGGGGGACAGGCTCGCTCCTAAACGCCCAGCCCGGGGCCCTGGGACACGGACACAGACCGGCGTGTGTAAGTCGGGGTCCGCAGGCTTAGCAACGGGGTGCGGGGGAGGCCTGTCC